TCTAAATACCGCTCCACCATATCAGTGAAAATAGCCAGCATGCATCTCTAAAAAGTGGTTGGGGCATTGCAAAGTCCGAACGGCATTCTCCTGAAGACAAATGTGCCAAAGGGACACGTGAAAGTAGTCTTGTGTTGATCCTCTGGCGCAATCACAATCTGATTATAACCGGAATACCCATCCAATAGGTAATAAAATTCCTTACTTGCCAGCCTGTCCAACATTTGATCAATAAAGGGAAGCGGGAAATGATCTTTTCTAGTTGCTTTATTGAGCCTCTTGTAATCCATGCAAATCTGCCACCCTGTTACTGTTCTTGTGGGGATTAATTCATTCTTCTCGTTCTCAACAACAGTCATCCCCCCTTTCTTAGGAACACATTGAACCGGGCTCACCCATGCACTATCCGAGATTGGATAGATGATCCCTGCATCTAACCACTTTATTACCTCCTTCTTGACCACCTCCTTCATAATCGGGTTCATCCTTCTTTGTCCCTCTATAGACCCCTTTTTATCATCTTCCAGGAGAATCTTGTGCATACAAAAGGAGGGACTTATGCCTTTTATGTCTGCTATAGTCCAGCCGATGGCTCCTTGGGATTCTCTTAAAACCTCTATTAGCCTGCCCTCTTGGTCCTGCGTCAATAAAGCAGAAATAATGACCGGAAGTGTAGAAGAATCTCCTAAGTAGGCATACCTCAAGTGTGCTGGCAAGGGCTTAAGTTTGAGGATTGGCGGCTCTTTGCTTAAGGGCTGAGTGGGCTGGTGTTCCCGTTCAATCAAGTCCAGAGACTCAAACTTCCTTGTGTAGCTCGGCATTGTCACATGTGCTCCCACCAACTCTACTTGCTCAACGCCTCCTTCCACATTACTCTCGAAGTTATCATGCTCAAGTGTTTCTGCCACCAGAGAGTCAATAACTGAGATGGCTGAGCACTCCTCCATTTCACTCGGGAACCTCATTGCCTTGAACATATTAAATGTGACCTGTTTGTCTTGCACCCTCATGGTCAATTCTCCTTTCTGAACATCAATCAAGGTGCGGCTAGTTGCAAGAAAAGGGCCTCCCCAAAATTATGGGCACTTCTCTGTCTGCTTCATAATCAAGAATAATAAAGTCGGCAGGAAAAATGAACTTGTCCACCCTTACTAGTACATCCTCGATCTTTCCTTCAGGGGTTGCAATTGACCTGTCCGCCAGCTGCAAAGATACTATGACCGGCCTTGCTTCTCCAATTCCCAACCTCTGGAATATTGACATCGGCATCAAGTTTATGCTCGTTCCCAAATCACACAATGCTCTACCAAATTATTGGTTTCCAGTAGAGCATGGAATAGTAAAACTTCCTGGGTCCTTTAACTTGGGCGGGAGTTTGTTCTGCAGAATAGCACTGCATTCTTCAGTCAGAGCCACTGTTTCAAACTCCCCGAGCCTGCACTTCTTGGTCACTAGATCCTTCATGAACTTAGCATAGCTTGGCATCTATTCCAAGGCTTCCACCAGGGGTATGTTGATGTGTACCTGTTTCAAAACATCTAAAAACTTGCGGAACTGCCCATCTTGTTGCTGTTTCTGGAAACGCTGTGGGAATGGCAGAGGTGGTCGGCTGCCACTAGGGTTGCTGGTCTCCGCTGATCCAGAATGCTGCGGAATGCTGCAGCATTCTGCACATTAGAGTCTAGTTGCTTACTCCTGAGCTGTTCTTCTTGTGGCATTGTTTTCTTCTCTCCCTCTTGGATTGAAGTGGGCTCTATGTGAGCAGCCATAGGTTTTGCTTTAGATTCCAACTCCTTTCCACACCTTAGTGTGATAGCTTTGCAGTGTTCTTTCCTGTCTTTTCGTGGATCTTCGGTATTGCTTGGGAGAGAACCTTGGGGCTTGTTGTTCAGAGAGTTTGCAATCTGTCCAACCTGATTTTCTAAATTCTGCAGTGCTGCATCATGGCTCTGGATTTTGGCTTCACTCCTTGAAATAAACTCTTTTAACAAGCTCTCCAAAGAGCTAGATTGTTCCACGACTTGAGTTCTTTGTTGTTGCGGTGGATATCCAGGTGGGTAGGTGTTTCTGTGGTAGGCGTTGGGTTGACTGGTACTTGCTCCCGGATTGCTCCATGATAAGTTTGGATTTTGCCTCATCCCTTGGTTATGAGGATTTGAATAGTGGTGATTACCCCTGTTGAAATTAGCAACATAACATGCAGAGGCGGGGTTGGATGGGCAATCTTCATATTGGTGGCTATCTCCACAGTAAACACACGAAAAACCAGCAGTTTGCACTGCATTTACCCCTGCCGGATTGTTCAACGCCTTTACCATATTCGTCAAAGATGACATTTGCGCTGAGAGAGCAGTGATGGCGTCAACCTCGTGAATTCCAGTGGCCTTCCTTGCATTATGCCTCTCGGTTGGCCATTGATAGTTATTGTTTGCCATCCTCTCCAAAATCTCATATGCGTCATTATAAGATTTGGCCAAAATGGCTCCACCTGCTGCGGCATCCACTATAGTTCGTGTTTGCCCATTGAGACCATTATAAAATGTCTCCATTTGAATCCAGTGGGGGATCCCATGATGAGGGCACTTCCGTAGTAGTTCCTTAAATCTATCCCACGCTTCATACAATGACTCCCCATCTGCTTGTTGGAACGAGGTTATGTCATTCCTTAACTTGGAATTCTTAGTTGGAGGGAAGTATTTCATGAGAAACTTTTCTGCCAATTCATCCTAAGATGCCACTGAATCTGGAAGCAAAGAATTCAACCACACTCGCACCCTATCCCTCAAGGAATAAGGGAATAGCTTCAACCTCAATGTATCTTCGGTTACCCCCGGTAGCTTAAAAGCATCGCTCACCTCCATAAATTGTCTGAGATGGATGTGAGGATCTTCAGTTGCCATGCCACTGAACTGCCCCACAGTCTGGAGCATTTCAAACATCATGGGTTTCAGCTCAAAATGAGGCGCCTGAATTGCTAGCCTCACTATGCCCGGGTTAAGTCCATGCAAAATGGGCACTGCATAGTCTCGAATGGTCCTGTTTCTATCATCAATCAGCTCTGGTTGTGGAACAGGGTTGTTGGCAATTGCTTGCGGCCCGTTGTTTCCTGCTGCCCCTTCTGCCATGTCTCTCACTCCTGCTAAGCCTTGTTGTTCCCTTCTCCTAGCTCGAAATGTTCTTTCAATTTCAGGATCTATAGGCAGCAACTCCAAGTCTTGCGGTGGATTCATGCAAGCAACTTAGTAACCTGAGGAATTAAGAACCAAATGAATGAGATTAAAAAGTAAACAAATGCAAAACAAATTAACTCCTGGAAATATTTTAATGATTTCAATTCCCCGGCAACGGCGCCAAAAACTTGTTGCGTGATAATTATGCTCGCAAGTGCATGTGTCGCTAACAAGTAATAGAGTGTACACAAGTACGGATATTGATCCCATGAGGAATGAATCACCAAAATATGTGTCTGGAGTTGTATAATCAACAAAACAAGTAAATGATGAATGTGGTGAGAAATTCACTAAAATGATGTAAATAAAATGAATGCAAACTAAATGCGATCACAAGTGACTAAGAGTAACAAGAATGTAGTGATGGAATGTAATTCAGTGGTGTAAATGAGCTAGGCCTGCTAATTTCCCCTCTACTGCAAGTCTGACTAGAATGTTACCAAGAATGCTGCAGCATTCTACTATCCAGTTAACAAAAACTCGTTGATGCATAAAGTTCTTCTGAATTGATTATGACTGTGGTCCTTTAAGCTATATCCGACACATTCCTATGTGAATCCAGCTCTAGGACTGCAGATTTAAGCTCAGGTTTCATTAAGTTATGCAAGGTGGATAATATATTCCTATACCATCCACTAATCAACAACTCAGCAAGTTCATTGAACAAACATCATTCATGCTTATCCGATTAAAACTAACCCTTCTAGTATTCATCTCAATCTTGTTTCCTAAGGTTGATGGCCAATCAAGAATAGAAATAAACATTAGCTCACATGAATGAACAGGAATAGTAGATTAATAGTATTTCAGAACAGCTTGTCATTCTTACAATATTGGTTCCATTAGCAAGCCTAGCTACAACAACTTAGTTCATAATGATTGTTACAAGATCCAAAGCTCCAGTATAATCCATATCTAGAATTAGTAGCTAAATGACAATAAAAAAGAGTTAAGCTAACAGAAGAAGAACAAGTTCAGTTGCATCTTGGATTCCTCTGTGGCCGGCCAACAATGTCCTTCAACTTCCAGCTCTCACGTCTCTGTATTTTCCTTCTAGGCTGAATATTACTTGATGTTCTGGTTTCTTCAGCTTTCCTCCAAAGCTTTTTCCTCTATGAATAATGCCTTATTGTGTTTTCTGGTGTCTTCGTACGCTCCTCTGTGAAACAATAACTGTCTTCTTTTTATATTAATGCCCGATTCTCTCTCTTCCTCTTTTTCTCCCCCTGGCGGCTGCCAACTTGTCCTGAGAGAAACATTCCCTTCTAGGGCAACACAAGGGCTGAAGAGTCACTGCGGATGTGCATAGTGGACCCATTTGACAACTCCTCAGCCAGCTCAAATGGATTCCTTTCTGTCTGCTTTGTCTAGCTAGTACGCTGACATCAATTAGCTGCCAGCTAATCCCAGAATGTCGCCCAAAATGCTGCAGCATTTTAGCCCAGTAATTTCCTGCAAGGAACTCACATAGAATTAGCCAGTTTTTCACCTATTTAACTTCCGAATTATCAGCTTTCACTTTAAGAGGTGCAACAATACGGAATTAGGCCAAAGTACATGCAACTCTACAAATCTAACTTAAAACAAACAATAAACGAGAACAATCATTCATGGACAAAAAAAAATTGGCTATAAAACCAGTGGATAACTCTAATTTCTTAGAGTTATCAGCAGCCCAAACTCAGAGTGTTGCTTGTCCTCGAGCAAAACAAAAGTGACAACAAGATAAGAGGAATGAACTAAAACAGAAGAAAAAAAAACTAATGCATACTTTGTGGATAATTTCTCAAGAGATTTTTTATATGTCCTTAAAACACATGTTAGAAGTGCAGCCTAAAGAAAAACATGAATTCCAGCCAAA